ACGAGCTTCACACAGCAGTGAAAATGTCCTTTTTGTTTTAAAGCAGAAAGTTTTGTGGCCACTAATAGGACTACCATATCTGCATTTGTCAGCATGGAGTACCTGTCAGGTGAGGAAGGCACTCAACAGCCATAGCTTTCTTGATTAGAAAAGACTGGTCATTGGCCCATTACCTTGTTTGTTACGCTGAATAAAACAAAAGAACCTTAAAAATATTGTCCAATCTAGCAGGAATTGAAGCCCTTACTCATAACAACCTGAGAAGTGCCACGAGAGCAGGGCCTGTTAGACCATGTGCAGCCTTTGTCTGGGTCTGCTGGCATTGGCAATTTATCTGAATTCCAGTGGTACTTCGGTGTAGCATAGCTTTCTTTGCACTTTCTACAATATATATCCAGCTATTAGTTTGAGTTGTTGAACCACCACGGGACCTGCAGTGTCCAGGGCTCCCTGGCTAAGTCCAGGCAGTGCCTTGAACTTGAACTCTGTACTGACCTAGAGCCCTCATAGCTGAACACTTAGTGGGGAGAGGTGCTGGGGGGTCTTCTGGAGTGGTTATGGCCACAGGCTGTGCTGCCATGCATGGGGAAGAGCACAGGACCCTTTGGAAAGTGCCATACACCTACACTTGGGAAGCATTCAGGTTGTATCTTATTGCAAACAATGTCTTGGGGCTTTGGTGCACAATGCACCTCAACTGTTTTTACAGTCTCATTCAGCACCCCTGCACATAGCACCAACAGCCCTAAAACTGTTTTGCAACTGCTGGATAAACACCTTCTCCTACTCTCAGCCCAATCTGAGACACTAGCAAGTCATAAATCACTTTCTCGAAGAGTTCACCAGAGCTTTGCAGAGTGTTCTCTTTGTATGCATTTATGTATAACACAATCAAAAACTAAATGTCATACATTAAACATTAAATAAGGAAAATGATACTCATTACAAAGGTTTTATAACTTAAAACACCATAATCAAATCCTGATAAAGCTGTAGTAGTAGCACATTCATAGGTGTGTTATCATTTGTGATGCCAATAAAATTGCCAGTACTTCTCTGTATGAGCCCTGGTATTTCACTGGAGAAAACTTTAGTGTCTTTGAATTGTTCATTCAGACACCCTGCTAATTATTTACCCACTAAGGCAATATTTTATTATCATCCCCCAGGCTTTACAAAAGTCAAATCTTATACAGTTCGTATACTTAGTAGCTCTGAAAGTCACTTCTGTTAGATAAAGTTAGGGAAAATAAAATGCCTCTCAGTGATTTAGAGGTTAGAAAAAACAATGCTGTGTGGTAACAAACACAAAAACAAACTTTTTATGTGGAGAAGGGATAGTCATCGCACAAATAATATCTGCAAATGATCTACTTAGCTATTAGCTGAGTGAGGGAGATGCTGTGATAAAACCTTTGAAAGTGCACATAGAAGACAAAATTTCCTGCATACATAAGCATCTAGTACAAACTTTCAACTTACATGTAATGTATTTTACATAGGCTGTCATTTTGCATGGAGAAGATGGCTTTTTTATCCCTTTCCAAATACAAAACCATAATGTATTAATAATTAAGTCTCTGAGTTTCTGATTTGCCCATCATGCACCTTGTGCACTGTGTGAGTTCTGAAGAACAAAAAATAGAAATGATAGGAAGCTGGGCAAAAGCTAAAATCCTGCTTCATAAAGGAGTTTGGTTAACATTGAGCATGTAGGTAGTTCTGTTGATTATGCACTTTAGGGAGTCATATCTTTATCCTTATTTTAGATACCATGTGATTTTAGGACTCTGGAGTTGAATGCCTCAAGCACTGTATATGGTTTGATATCACAGTGAGTTGCAGTGATGCAGTCTGTTATCTCATAGCAGATAATTTACAGACTCCAGTTCTGCAAAATGTTCTGTACAAATTGGAAATGGAACACAAATACCATTGACTTATTTGTACAGTTTTCCTCTAAGTGTTGGTTGGAATTGCTTTGAGCTGGAAGTGGTCTTACAGAGCCTTAAGCTCCATGAAAGAGGCCAAACCATAGTCAGTCTTGCTAAAATATGCCAATGAATTAGAGAGAATCTTCTTTTCTTCATGAGTGGACCAGGATTTACAGACCATGAGTTGTGTTAAGATATACTCAGTTTGTGCCTGTTTAGTAGCAGGCCATAAACAACCTGCCAAAATCTAATTCATAACAAGTCAAAAGAAATCATAGTCCTTAAAATGTGGCATTGTACATGTTTTCTGTTAAATAAACTTTTAAAAACTTTGATAGTAAATCTAATTTTTACAAGTTTTCCATGGAAAATTATAAACAATTACATCTTGTTAAAGTTGAAATTCTGCCATTGAAGCATAATATTTGCTGGCAGAGTCTAAACTGTGTATGGCAGCTGAAGTGCTGGTATTTCAGTCCTGTACTGCATATTCAGTGATCTTAATAGACCGTTTTGTTTCACCTTGAATGCTGACAGTGAGCATTGAGTTACACCAAGAGATGAGTTCTCCCAGGCTTGTGAATATGCAAGAGTTTTTCAACTTGTTTATGAAAGGCTGGATTTTATTTGAAAGTGTGCAGTAATTGTGATTGTCTTATTCTACATTTGGATGTGGGGAGGGTTCTCAACAGCTTCGTAAGCATAACCATATGAAAGATGCCCTGCTGTCTTCTTTTTGGAATGTGTGGGATACATCTGACATGATGGTGCATGTATTTGGGTTGGCTTCAAAAGAAAGTAAAGGATCTACATATTCACCCATTTTTTACCCTGGCTTTTCCATGAGTGCATACATGCTTGCTTTTAAGACAAAAACAAATCAAACTGTATTGAAACTTTAAATACACTCCAGAAAACCATTTCAGAATAAAACAATTGCATTTTTAAATTGGTAGTAATTTTCTCTTTGAATTTTGTATTAGTGAAAAGCTTAAAGTTCAAACTTATCTTGAAAGGGGAAGCTGTGTTTCTTTCGGTCCAAAGTGTTTTATTATTTGAGGAATGGAAGGGAAAATTGAGTTATTTAATGTCTGATAGAAAAGATTTTGGAAGTGATAAGAATTTTAAAAAGTATTCATTTGACTGCAAAGATAACCTTGAATTGCCAACTCTTTAATCACAGACTTCTTTGTGTGGCAACACACATGTGAAAGGTAGCTATTAAAACAGTATTCATCTTCAGATAAGGCATGTTAGGGTTTAGACATGAGAAAAAGAGGAGCAAGCATTCATGGCACCCTTCCCACATTCTACTTTACTTCATCTCTTACTTCTTTCCAGCAAGGTAGGAAGAGTCAGCATAACCAATACCGCTGTCTTCCTTACACCAAACCCACTGTCATTCCAATCATTGGAAAATTGCCACTGACTGTAATCACACAGGTATCAGATCAGCAGCTATTTAAAGGGAAAATCCCTGCTGTTCCCACCTTTCTAATCTGTAGCACCAGAAATACATTTATTTTTTTTCTTTAATGACGGCAGGGCAGAATTCCTTCTTCACATCTATTCAGCATAGTCAGAAGAACTCGCTGGGAGAACTGCTGAAATAGTTGAGTCATAATTAAGCTCTTATGCTTACATTTGAAAAATTGGCTCTGGATTCTGGTAAGGAATCAGCAGTTACTTTTTTTCAGCTCCTCTCACTCCTTGTCCCCCAGACACTTAATGAAACCACTTTGGTATCAAACAGGTCCTTTGGAATCAGAAGCAAAACTAATTTGTGCATATGTTATCTAAAAGTTAGTACCTTTTAATGACAAACCTAGTTTGAATTGACAGTTTATCTGTAAAATTCATAATTCTTGGTGTTTATTTATAGAGCGTTATTACCATATTGCAAGAGAAGGAAATGCAGCCTAGTTCTTGTAACACAGTGTAAAGGAAACAGTCCTGAATATGGAGAAACAAGAAAACTCCACATGGGTCTTAAAAGTAATAATTATAGCAAGAACTTTCATTGTACTGGCGAAAATCAGGAGGAATTTGAGCCTGTGCTGACTGTACATGCTAGAATTGCTCTTCAATTTGTTTTTGTTCTGTTCGTTGACGGGAAGTCAAAAGACAGTAACTGCAGAATATACTGGTGAGTGTTTAAACGTGGTAGCTGGAAGAAGAAAGGAAGAAATCTGTTTAAATGTGTGTAACAATTTCTGAGGACAGTTTAAAAATAATATTTCGGAATGCTAACCAGGCACTTTTATGAAAACATATTTTAACTAGTTGTTTCTGCTTTAAAGGCCAGCAGATGGGCATCTAAAGTTGTGCTGTCACCAGCAACTTCTGGTACTCCATCTCCAGCTGGGTGGGCAGTGGGCTCTGATCATTGCAATATCTGTCCCCAGGGCAGCTGCTATCCCAGTTGTTTATTAACATGGTGAAGAGTAGCCTGAGGCTTGCTGTAGTTTTGTGCTAGATTTATTGGCACCTCTTTCCTAGTCTCCAAAGATTGTTGCGGCAGCACCACACAGCCTTTATTCCAATGAGGTGCAAAAGACCCATCTAATATGACCCTTCTGTAAGTGCCATCTCAGGGGACTGTGGACAGATCAGACCTACCTGTAAGAACAGGGGTGTCATCCTTGTCATCAAGGCATTATGAGGACAAGCATCTTGAGCCTTGCGAATCTCCATTACTTCAATAAGGAAGCCATATAAATAGAATGAGAAAGTATCCCATTCCTTCTATTTATTAATATACAGAACAGACATAGATCATAGACAGTGTGCTTGTGTTTACTGACATTAGTGAAGTTTTCTAGGTGACAACTTCAAGCAGCAGCAAGGGCTGTCAATATATTAGGAAACTGTCTCTTTCAATGTTTTCACGTCAGATACCAAGAAAAGCATTTTTTTGTTGTTGTCTGTAGACCAAAACAAAAACTTTTAAGTGGTGAGAATAATATGTATCTAGGTTGAAAGACAACGCGTTATAACTGCATGAAGCAGATTTTACCTATGGCCAAATCTTGCTGCTATTAATGACATTATTTTCTTGTTTTGCAGCTTGCAGGCCTGGATTCTATAAAGCATTTGCTGGAAATGTAAAGTGCTCCAAGTGCCCTCCACACAGTTCAACCTATGTTGAAGCAACTTCAGTATGTCAGTGTGAAAAAGGTTACTTCAGAGCTGAGAAAGATCCACCAACTATGGCATGTACCCGTAAGTCTGATCAGTACCAGTCTCTGCAATTCTCTTGCATGCATCTTTTTTGTATTTAAAAAAACAATGGCACATTTTATGAAGAATCCTGCTAAAAATTACCAATAGAGATTTTTAAAATCAAATTTTGAACAGCAGAATTTTATTTAGTACTGGTATCCCTGAAAATACTGACATGTTTTGTACTTCAATGATTTATTAACTTGTAGTTCTGAGAAGTAATATAAGGTTTGTAATCACTGTCATAGAGATAGCAATGTTGAATTTTAATTATCAGTATATATTTTGAAGACATGAAAATATGTGCAACATCCAAAAAACTGAGGATGATTATAAACAACAACAAAAAACTGATATGGCATAAATTCCTGTCTCCTTAGATTAAAAAAAATAAATAAGAGTACTGTTGCAATAACTAGCAGTGCACAGTCAATTTTTTGGTGTGTCTAATCATGTAAAAGTAACTGAGCTGACAGCAGTAGAGTCAAACCTTTTCCCATGCTAACGGTAGTGTCACCATATGGCACTGTTCTGGGTAAATTGGGAATATACCACACAATTTGGATTCATGAAGTTTTAGGCATTCCATACTCCTAAGATCATTACACAGACTAAGCCTTGTCTGTCTACTGAATGAGTGATCTTCATCAAAAATGACATTTCAGAGATCCATGGAGCTTATCAGGAAGTTGTCTAATCTAACCATAGAGCATTCAGAGGTGAAGGGTAAGTCCCAGTCTCCAGCTGCTGAAGAGACATAATGTCATGACACATAAGGTTCAAATAAGGACTTCAACCCAAGTAGCACAATCTGCTGTCAGACCACTCTGGAGCAAAGCACATAGGCCTGTCATTTTTCACAGAATATGTGAGGGGGAAAAACTGTGTTTATCCAGACTTCCCACAGGAAGATGGGCTTACATATAATTCCAGTCAAATGAGTGCCCTGAGCACAGGCCTTGAAAACTTACCCACAGAACTAACACACAATCCAGGCACCCTTGACAGTTTCATGCTTAAGACAATGGTTTCACTCATGCATTATGTACATCTGACTCCATATTGTTTATGTCATTGATTTTTCATTTGCAAAGGACAGTTCTCTGAAAAATTACTCATGCATGGCAAAAGGTTTCCCTCATTGTCTTTCAGGGCTCGGTTTTAAACCCTGCTACTCACTACTCTTGGTAAGGTTTGTGAGGTGTGTGTGATCCATGTGGCATCAAGGGAGTGGGTACTTACAGCACCCTGAATCCCTCTTCCTCACACTATAAAAAACTGCAGAGAACTGCTTTGGTTGAAAACTGTCAGTAAAGACTTTTTGCCAGACCACTTTGTTTTTCTGAGGACATCAGGCAAAGCAACCAAGTGAACTGAGGAAAAGAAAAAAACAACCACAACATCTCATCTCACTTCAGCCTTGAAGAAATAGTAAGGGAGACAGTGAACCACATTCTAGTTTTTGCCTTGTTCCTTGTTCAGTGCCACCATGCATTACCTCTTATTCAGCCTAGATTGCAAGGTGTCAGTACTTTATTGAATGTAACAGCAGATATATTCATCTTATACCTACAATGATGATTATTTCACTAATTGTCAGCTCTGCAAATGACTAAGCTTCTGACAGGCAGACTGTGCTCTTCTTTCACATCATCAGTAATGAAGAATCTGCAGACCAAATTATTCCCTAAGTGATATATTTAGCCCCACTGCTTTCAAATTATGCTCTCAGTTATTAAAATTGTTTGTCATAAATGCAACCTCACTGCTTTTGGAGGATCTGTACAGATGTGACTAATTTAAATTTAATAAACAAAGATACTAGTGATGTGTGAGACAGGTTAGAATTTAGCTTGTTTCTTCCAAACTGTCATGCTTTGCTCTAATAAGAGGAGATGAAAAGTTAGGAAAGAATAAGCCACCTAAAATTCATAAAGAGAAAGGGCTGTACAGTAAGAAAATGAATTTTGTACATAACTATTTTTGGACCAAATCTACATTTTTTATGTCAACCTGCAAATTCGTGTTCTGACATGTTAGTCACATTTTTCTTCTGATTTTTTAATCAAGACTCATTCTTGAATCAAACACAGAATTAATAGTGAATTCACTTTAAAAACCCCTTCATCTTCAAATATTTTAAAACAACTACATTCATGCCTTTTTTATTTGCTCCCTAGATCCTGCAAAGCAAGATGGCTAAAATAGGTAGATCATGGCATTATAGACTCACATAGAGGGCTTGGGTTGAAAGGGACCTTAGAGAGCACCCAGTTTCAATGCACTGCCGTGTGCAAGGTTGCCACCCACTAGATCAGGTGCCCAGATTTCTTCTTTCTTTCTTCGCATTCCTTTGTGGGGTTAGACATTATTTCTCACTCCGGTATTTTTTCCTTGGTACTGGAAAACTTGCATAAGCAGCAGTATGGAGATTAATGGCCTTGATTTAAGACGCCAGGCATTTAAGAGCCTAGCTTCAGGCATCCATTTTTTTTCAGCTGAGCTTTGAATCTAGTATTATTAATTCTGCACAAGTGCATATTGTATGTTTTTCCTAAATTGTACAGTATTTTATAGGAGCGTGTACTTTGTAGCGTAGTAGAAGGGAAAGCATAATAGAAGGGAAAAAGAAAGTGACATTAGGATGTATTGTTAATTACTTTCTCCTAGCCTTTTTCCACTTGATTGACATTTTTTGTCAATCTCTTGCTACTATTCTTTATCATTATTGTATTTCTTTGCCATATGTGAATGTACTCTATCACTGATCTCTCTGTACATACAGTGAGCAACAAATAGCAGCATTACCTAATTCTCCATCTGATTACTGTGTACATAAACTCTAACATTTTCCACTATTATGTAATTGGATAGACTGATCCATCTTTTCAAGGTCAGAGACAGGCAAACTTATGTTGGGTCTCTGGGTCTGAATATGTCTCTTTTCATATTAAGAGACATATTAAGACATATTGTTTCATATTAATTAAACAATTTTGCAGCAATAGCGCTTATGTTCTGTTCAGTAATCACTGCTACAAACTGTATCCTCTATATTGAAGCTCTTTGAGGTCCACCTCTGTTTTCCAGCAGTAAAATCAAGCAGCATGCTTGAAGCCTTTGACTCTACTGCTCCTATTGTCATTTATATGCATATATTTGGGTGCAATTTATGATTATGCTCAGACTTGGAATATTCCTTTGCAGTCACCAGTTCCTATCATGAGGAAATTCTTCCTTCTTGCCTCACTGAGAAAGAAATAAGTAATTCTGGAAAGGCAAAAGTGTCATACAGCATTCCAAACCAAGTGGCAATACTCATCTATATTGCATATATGTGTATATGTAAGAAAGCTACTATGAGCACAGGGGACACAGTTAGATGCTGATTCTGGGTATTCTAAGGAGGTGATTAATTTCAGCCACATCCGCTGTGAATTATTAGAGTTTAGAAGTTGGTAATGAACAGTTCTCACTTGAAAAAGCAGAAAGTATTTTCCAGACTGTCATTGCCCAGTGTTTAAATACTACATTGCCTTCACTAGACTTCTGCAGCATTTTGACTGCTCCTCCCTCCTTCCACGAAGGGCAAAATGCACTTCACCTTCATGGAAGGAGAGGATGCACAAAGAAGTTAAATGAGGTACAAATCACTGCATGAGGCATAAACTCAGCTCTGTAGCTTTTGGAGTGAGTCCTCTTCTCCAAAATAAATCAGTTCCAGTCTGCTCCACAGAGAGTGTAGTGATAGTTTTTTTCATTATAATTTGTAAATGACATTGTTCACACCCAGGCTGTTTTTATCCAAAAAGCAGAAGAGCTGCCTTTTTTTCCAGTGCTCAACCATCTGAAGTGTTTTACTCTTCTACATAAAATCTTAAGTCACGAATTTTGCTGTTGAGAAAAGGATCCATCATTTTCACCAGTATACTTGATTTCCTTAAAAATCAGTGTAAGGAAATCCCCAAGAGTTTTGCCCATAGACGTCTGCAGAAGGGTTATTGCTGCCAAGATTTTTGATGTGTTGAATAATCTTTGTATAATTTATAAATGATAACAAAGCAATCAGGCCACATTCATAAAAGCCCAATGACACATAATTTAGCTGAATCTGAGGGCTAGAATTAATTGTTTCTCTTTGTTCCAAGTTCTAAATCTTAGTAAATGATTCACTGCATGTCATTACAGCTTAATATTTGCATGAAATCACAGTTTAACTGGCATAATTTAACAGCAATTAAAAAGCTATTTAATCATCATGCAAATTGGCATGAGGGGCTTTCAGTATGAAGGGTGTCTGAAGTTTTTTTCAGACGGACAGCCATTACTTTCAGACATCTCTAATGTAATTGATTATGTTCTCCTATTTCATTGAATTGTGAATGTACAATAATTCATGTTTCCTATTATAATTGAGAATTAAATCCCAAATCATGAATATAGCATATTCATAGAAAATTAGGAATTTTACCTTACATGTACATAGAACTACAAATTAAACAAATTAAATTTTTTTTTTAAAGGAAAAAAAAATGTTTCCTGGTGCCCAGATACACATTAAATCATATGTTTTGGCCTGCTGGAGCCTCTGAAGTAACATGTAAAGCCTGAGCTGTGATGACCCATTGTCATATCTGTTGTTTATGTAAGGTAAAATTTAAACTAGTTTCAAAACACTGGCTTCAGTCCTGTGAGTGATGACACACATGCTTAATTTTAAGTGCATGAGTATTATCAACTGTTTCATGGGGGCTACAGATCAGCTTAAAGTCATGCGAACACATGGATGTGATTGGGCTCATCCTCCATATTCCTAACACTCCTCATTGGTTTTAACAACGAGAATTTGTTAAGACCAGTCATTATTTAATTATAGCAATTTATTTAGAGGAAACATAATTATCCTCTCTTCTACACGTAAATACTAAGAACTGAAGCTGAATTCATCCATTCTGGTTTTAGTTTATTCCAGTCAAAAAACTGTTTTCCAGAGTAGCTTCAACTGCCAATGTCATTGTAATTTTACAGGAAGTTAAGGTTTTAAATCTGAGACACTCTCAGATTGTAGAGGCTTGTTTACTACATCAGCATCTTCAAGGCTGTACCTTGCCTCTGCTGTCCGCATCAGTGGAAAAATGAAGCATCAATGTAAATAGTCATTGTTAACAAGTTACATTTATAAATACTTCCATATTACGTTATTTCATATTTCACTGTTAGATTTATCACAGTCAGAGGCCAGGAAGGAAATAGTCGAAATGATTTGTGAACATAAAAACTGCAAACTACAAAAATAATTTTCATCTGTCAGGTTCCAGAAATATTCATCTTCAGCACAAATGAGGCACATAACATTCAGCAAATATTTCCTCTCTACCATGAATAATAACTGCTCTTTACTTTTTCCCTACCATAAACTTTACGCAGGTAAATATAAAAATGAATACATAATTCAAAATATTTTAAATCTTCTTATCCACTGAAAAAAAAAAAAAAAGTAATACAGTACCTCCAAGTACTTTAATGATCAAATGCTTGAAATCTAATACCTAACTCTTCATTAACCTTAGGGCAAAAATCATTCTAATAAAACCATAGCTCCTGCTGTTTAGTATTACAAAAGTATCAGAAGTCAAAAAGCTACTCAAATGTTCAACTACAATTCACAGAAAACCCCAGCATTTCTTAGTTCACATCATCCCTCCCATGCCATATAAACAGTTTTTCCTTTTATAAGCATTCCAGCTTTTATTCTTATGCTGCATAAATAAACAGATAACATCACTTTAAAATTATAAATTTTGATGAACAGTGACATTTTGTTCTGCAACTATTATTGCCTCTTTCCTTCTTTCAAGTTAGAAGTAATTCTCTCTGCAAAACATAGGTATAATTGTATAGATCTTTACCATTGTATAGTATTTTGCTAAAATATAAGATGAAGTAATGTTTTCAATTAAGGTATGGTCTGTTTTTGTAGTCTAGGTCATCTTCAAGAAATAAGAAATTGAGTAAATAAGTTTACTTCAGTTATAGGTACATATTTACGAGCTACTCATAAGCTTTATTTTCTAAATCACAGCATCTTTGTTCAGCCAAAAAAAGTAGCTTAAAATAATGCAAATATTAAGAAAAAATAAGATTTAAGAATTTGAATTGAATAACTAGGAAAAAGTGATCTAACTTCCTTCCTAATGCAAAGTTATGATTTCTCTGACTATCCTTTGGGCATAGGCCTTGTCCTCATGCTACAGATTGTTGAATTGGAACTTATAAATGTGTTGATTAATTATTTGGGGGGGCGGGGGGGGGGGTTGTTAGTTTGGTTATTTAGTTCTTCTCTGATTGTCTAAAAGTTTCTATAAAAGATAGTTATGATATTTCATTTATCCGACTTTCTCAGAATGGACTGAATTCACTGCTCAATTTCTGGAGTGAAATCTACAACAATGAGCTGAGATCATTTTCAGATGCTTTGTATAGTCCTTCAGGCTGCTTTAGAGTCCTTGGAATAATGAAAAGCTCACTCAAAGTTTAACCAGTGTCTCATAGCTATGTCTTAATGGCAGGTTGTATGAATCCTGAACATCTGTAAAGCAAGTTTAAAATTTTGAAAGCTCTACTACCAATTGACTGAACTGTCCTCGTGCACTCTGACTTAATCTTGAGATCTGAAAATGTAATGCTCATTTAACTCAACAAAAATACAGAAATCACCAGTTGGGTTTACCACATTTGTCTTACATACAAACCTGTAGCATAAAGCCTTAAGTTTTGTCCTGTGTGTAACTTTTATGCATGTTTAGAAACTGTCTTTGAAAACTGTGTGTCCTTTGAAAACCGTGTGTCTGTCTTTTGTGTCTAATGCTCTTAACCTGTGACCACCTACTTCCATTAATGAATAGCAGCAAAGAAATCCCAGAGGATAATAGCAGGAAATGATAGGGGGAAAAAAAGAAAATCTGACTGCAGGATTAATACAAACAATTTTACTTCTTGTACTTATTCCGAAGCTGTTATTTATTTATTTGCTTACTCATTTTAACTCTTATAAAACATCAAAGAGCATAAGTATCAGAAAAGCCTACTTTGCTAAACGTAGAATAAGGAAGTAATTTTTGTGGTTAAAGCTCAACATCAGTACCCTACAAGATCAGTTGATATTTTGTGCAAATTTGTGTTACCAAGCCTAACTTGGACATTCCCAACTAATTTATATGTTGCCCTAAATTATTTCTGAAATAAATTCTAACTCATTTAGATTTTTCAACTTCTTATAATGTTGCCTATTTATTCTTTCTGGTTAATATTCAAGGAATTTAATTGTGTAGACAATTTCTAAAATTTTTCTTTTCATTCACTATTCAGTCATCAGTGTTTTAATGCCTGTTTGTAAATAATTGCCTTAACATTAATATGATTATTTATGTATCTCCTCCCCCCGCCCCCCAAATGGGCAGTTGTCACTTAGCAGTCTTTCTTTACCTTCTTTCCAGGGCCACCTTCTGCTCCCAGGAATGTGATTTTTAACATTAACGAAACGGCTCTCATGTTGGAATGGAGCCCACCAAGTGATACCGGAGGAAGAAAAGATCTCACCTACAGTGTCATCTGTAAGAAATGTGGGTCAGATGCCAGCCAGTGTGAAATATGTGGGGGAGGAATCCGCTTCATTCCCAGGCACACAGGTCTCATCAACTCCTCTGTGACGGTGCTGGACTTCGTGTCACATGTGAACTACACCTTTGAAATCGAGGCCACGAATGGCGTCTCGGAGTTGAGTTTCTCTCCCAAGCAGTTCACAGCTATCACAGTTACCACAGACCAAGATGGTAAGTCACTGTACTGCATGTCTGCTACTTTGCCCCTGTCATCCATGCATATATTGGGAGTATCATTTTGATTTTTCGAAATCTGGGTCAGTGAGTTTGATACTTTGCAGGTTGCAACGTGCTTTTATGTGTGACAGCTTTCAGTTGCTGCTGATGAGGGCACTGAGTGTTTTTGTTAGTTTTGGCCACTGAGCCTATTACACAGGGCATGAAATCATATCTATTTGTTTAAAACATCTTTCTGTATAAATTGAGCGCATGCTTTAACTACCTGAATCTACTAGTGGTTTGTCACAACTGGAGTCTGTGTCTGATGCTTTTCGAAGTCTTTCCATAGGATTTTGGTTTTGAAAAACTAAAGCACTGCTTTATCCATCAATTTACAATTTATAGGTAAAATAAAAGCGAACTGGTTTCCTTTAGTTTCATGGTATGAGTACAGCGTGCTTCACTGTAAGATACTCCAACATCCGTATGAGCCATTTTCTTAGATGAGGTAATCTAAAAGATTTTGTCTTTCTTTAATTGTTCCTGTATTGTTCCTGTATTTATTGTTTCTGAGCTTCCCTCCCCCTCCATTTCAATTCAAATTCATGTTGAAGGCAGTTCTTTATGAGAAATTTGTGAAATAAAAGGAGTTCTATAGTGAATTTCTACAACTATTTCCCCTTCCATCTATAGAAACAATTTCTATGCCAGCAAAAGCAGTGTCAGGTTACCAACAAAGCAGCCTATATGGCAGTGTTATCTTCTGGCTTGTGCTACTATAGATCAGAAGGTTATTTCAGAATTATCTCTTGCTGACATTTGTTCCAGAAATATTTTTTACCTGCTGTGCAATGACATTGCAACTGTAGCTGAAGTGTTAAATGTAGGACAGGAACTGAATTGGCCAAATGAGGGTTTGGAATGGCAGCAGGCCTTTGGAAATACAAAAGTATTTACAAAAACTGCTGATGTTGAGAATACTGTTTTATAGGAAGGCCTTGGGTTCTTTCATTGATCTATCAGTCTAGCAAAAATCTGCCTACCTTTGTATCTGGAGCAAGTAGTTTTGTTGATGAGTAAGTAATGACTTATTTGCCTTTGGGCATACCAAAATTAACAGCTTGCTGTGATGATGATGATGATGATAATCACAGTGATGGTAACTCTGATAATACTCTTGAAAATGGATTGGGAAAGCCATGAAAACTACTCACTCACCCTTAATGTGATGATAGTAACAGAACAGCTGATTATATAAGATGCTTAATGATACGTGCCTGGCAATGAGAATTGTCTTAAGCTCTTAGGCTACACATCACATTATGAAACTTTATTTCCTTTTTTATTAGATAAAAAATGTCATGCCAGAAACTCCCCCTGTATATACACTTATTTTTGGAAGTGTTACATGATACTAAACTCAAGTCACTTAGCACGCACAGGTGGAGGTCACCAGAGACACAGCTTATTTTTAAAGTGGCTCACAGCTATCTGAACACGCACTGTGAATTGTATTTAAGCAGTAGGCTTTTTGCTGATGTCTGTTTCTGGTTTAGTGATATAGATTTTGACTGCAGTGTACTCAAAACAGGAATAAGACCAATGTTTTGATAATTTGTGACACACTGATAGTAAACGCTAGAGTGTAGGCTGCTTGCATGCCCTACAATAATTCTTACATTGCTAAAAAAAACTGTTGAAAGGGCTTCAGAGAATTTAAGACTAGATTTCCAGAATATCAGTTGGTTTATTTGGATATAAAAAGATAGCTTTGCAAGAGGAAGCATTGTTTAAAATGAAATGGAGGCATCTATAAAATGTAGTTAAAAGAAAAAGTAATTTTAGTAGGCTTAGAAACTTGTGTAAAATCATAAAACTGGTAAGTATGTATGTAGAAGGAAAAGAGAGCAAGGTATTGTCATATGAAAGAGATTTTGGAAGAAAATTAATGGAGGTTTGGTTTATGGAAAATGAGAGGACATGAATAAACATTTTTTGTGAGTTTAGTTTCGTCATGAAAAAGAAGTGGTAGTATGGAGAAAGCTAGAGTATCTGACCTAAGGAAACAAGACTTTATATCTAAAGCTTCATTGCAGAGCTTTTATTAATGTTTGTAAATCATGCTAATGTTCTGTGATAAAAGGATTTATGACCTTTTTGATTTCTATTGGAAGCCAGAAATAGTAAACAACTTAGAATTTGATTCTTGCCATATTTACCAGAATTACAGGCCTTTATATTGAAAATATTTTCCAGATATATCACCAAGCAGTAATCTCACTGTTACAGTATTTCCTTCTAACTTTAATCATCCTCCTGAAATGGGCACTACTTATTGGCAGATGCTGTAAAATCATGTACATGTTCATATAAGCAAAAGATCCAAGGTTAAAGATAGGAAGTTGATAACAGGTCAAAACATCCTAATGTGGACAAGGACTGAATTACCAAAAGTCCAAATTTGAGACAATTTTTCCTTTTTAATGTGTCTAATTTCAAAAAAATCTTTATTTGTAGTAACTTACACATAGACAACATGTTTATCTTCTGTTCATGTCTGCTTTTTGTATGTATTTTTTTCATACATAATATTTTGATATTTTTTACTATACACATTACGTAGTGCTTAATCTCTATTAAATACAAATTGTTTTCTTCGATTGTTACATCTTTTTCAAGAATGTGGAACAATATCTTAGCTGTTCTAAATCCAAATCATTTTGTTAGGTGCAATAATTGACGTTAGCTGAGGAGGTGGCATTTTATTTTATTTGAGCATATTGGATTTACTTACCCCTTGTGGGCCCCCCCCCCCCCCCCTTTATTTTTTCTTTTCGTTTTTTGACGCTTGATTTGAAATTGGAGTCTTCTTTTTGTTGTTTTGGGTTTTCTTCTCACTTTTTAGAGAGGATTCTACTATTAATGCAGGATTAATGCAATGAAGTGTACGTACCATGTGCATACACAGAAACTGAAGAGCTGTGTTATAACACAGTTAGTGAGAACAGTTTGAGAGCATCAGAGGGAGAACATTTGCTGACAGGAGAAGTGAACTAATTAAAAAGTGATTAAGACTCATCTCTAGGAGCTAATATTAAAATCTTAACTGCCTCTACATGGAATCACCACCATCGACAAGATTGAGTACGCTGCTCAGCTCTAACAGTGACAAGAGGCAAACTGAATGAAAGTAACAGTAATTTTGAAAAGGTTTTGCAGACTGCATCCTGCAAACCACTTCATGGTTTGAAGAGCAAAGCATTTCCAGATCTGATTGAATACTAGAAAAAAACTTATTGACACTACTGTAAGCTGCATAAAATCAATTTGTTGCCATTCGCAACTTGTTTGCATATTACTTTTGTGCAAAAAATCCAGTAGCCTTATTTTTCTGACTTTCATAAGGAAACAATGTTTATGCAGTCATATTGTCTATTGGACATACTGAAGATACATTATAGAAGTGTGAAAAGTGCCCTTGGATTTTATGTTCCCCAAGTTGTAGGTTAGAGCTTTAAGTTAAAAAGCAAAGCGCAATTGCGTTAGGCCAGCCGACTGACCACCTAGCCTGTCTATTGACTATTCAGTCAAGAAAGAAAGAATATAGTTGGTATACAACTACAGAACATGCTGTCTTGTCCAGCAAGTGTAGCAAACAAAGACAGGATAAGGCTGTGTTGGAAAGGTTAGATGTTGCAGGTGGAGAGATGAGCGAAGAAGAGATGTGTGTTAATCTTGTATAGTATTGTTTCTAAATGTTATAAGAAATGAGAATAACCCATACTATGCTATGATGCCTTTATTTGTGGGGGTGATAAAGTTTTATACAGGAATAAGTATGCTGAGCATGAAGTAATTGTACTCAGTAGACTTTAAATCATTGTGTAACGAGGTTGAGAATTATATGCTGAATTGTAATTTATTTTTTCTTACAACTAATGGAAGGAAGGGACACCTCACTGCATAACTTTCTTACCACACCTTGGAGTCTGCATTACATAAAGAAAACTGGGAAGTACTTGAGGTTTTTATGCATAATTTAGGTAGTAAATAATGAATAATTAAGCAAAACAGAACTTAAAGCAATAGTTCCTATTTCCAAATAATAATCAACATATGCATTCACTCAGTAAGCATTTGTATGTTCTTTTACTTGAGTGCAGTGGTTTTTTTTAAAGTTACTGTTTGGAGGAGTGGAGTTGTGAGACACATCCTGAGTGCCTGGTTATGTATGTAGAGACAGTATGACTAGCGTTTTCAGTGGCACAACTGAGGAGTAGCGCTCTGTAACTAGAGTGCCTCTGAGTATTCTTCTCACTGTCTGATCTCCATCTTTGCCTCGTCGTGTCTCTCCTGTGGGACTCTGTGCCTGCAGTCCTCTACTCATCTTTTTTATGAGTGCTACAAGCAGTGACCTCCCCTAAAATCACATTCTAGCAATGGGACATTTTGCAAGCATCATTCAATTTGTGGGTTTCTTCTGCATGTCTTTCGTGCCTTGGCAGAAAGTTACCACTGGAGAAGTGTTCCTTCTGCCCAAAAAAGCTCATTTTATCCTGTCTCAGTCCTGCAGTTCCTGAGTGACTCTGGCCTCCATGATATCAAAGACCTGCTACTGGTGGACAAAGTGGCATGTGAGACTTCCTTCTGCCTGGGCTTACACAGTCACTGTGCTAGAAGCCTGTCTCGTTATCCTGTGCTTGTCTGATGCAGAGAGCCTGTGCCTAGCTGAAGTGTTATGGCAGATTCTGAAACTGGAAATCTGTGCACCATTCCTTTATTTAATTCATATTATCTTATATCCGTTGGCAGATATATTTTAGGTGATGTTTTCTAAACTGATGGTAAAGTCTTGCCAATGTCAGAAAGTGATTACCGTCCATTTAATTCATGTTTCCAAATAACTTAAGGCCAATGGCTTCTAGTATAGGTGACTTTTGAGATGCAGTTGTAACCCAGTGTGGATTTTCTGTAGCAACAGCAGCCTCTTATCTTTCTCTTAGAGCTGAGGG